TGTTGCGAGACTTGGACATCCTAGCCGATGCACTTGATGAGAAAAGAGCGGACCATGCTACTGCGCACAACCGGCTGTCAGCCTGGAAGCAGGACGACGAGTACTTTGGTGTTTTGCGGCCAGTGGTCAGAAATGAGCACTGGTCTGCGCTCGTCCAGCAGTTTTCCGCCCCAGCCTCCGCCGCCTCGACCTCTGCCTGCCTCCGTTCTGCTTTCAACAAGGTGAACGGGAACACGTCGCCAGTGTCAGAACAGGACAGAGGCGAACTTGTGGGCGCACTCCAGGGCTCGGCTGAGCAACCGGCCGATTATGACTATCTGAATAGCGTGTTGTGCGGTCTGCAGCTGTTGGCAGAAGAAGCAAACAAGCAGCAAAAGGACTTTGTTCTGCGCGTTTGCAAAGACATTTGCGGCCGTGGTGTGTCTGCTTCAGATTTTCATGGGGATGAGGATTTGATGGAGCAGATGTTCGCGAAAGGTCACTGGGAAGTTTCGGTTGTGAAGAACGCAATTTCAGAGAGTGCAGCAGAGCAGCAACACAAGAACACGGTGCTGCAAACCTGCGAGAAGCTTGCGGCAGCGAGCAGCAAAGTTTGCCTGTGGCATGGGTTGCTGAACGCCATACTGACTTTGGCCAAGACGGCGCAGGAGCATGCGGACAATGGGTTGGATGCAAACGTCCAAGACGATTTGGTGCAGTGCTGGAGTGAGGTGAAACACCGACTGCAGACAGACCCGGAGATAGCCGCAGCAGCTCAGCCCGTCAAGGAGGCCTTGGAGAACTTGCTGAACGCCACGAAGACTGAGCAAGTGGGACCTCAGGTCTACGAAGGCGCCATGACGGAGCTCCGGCTGTCAGCCATGGAACTGCTGAGGCTTGCCAAAGAGCGCCGCAAGCCAGAAGTGCAGGAAGCTGCTAGCAACTTGCGAAAACTCGAGCATCGCTGCATGCAGTGCTGCTCGCTGTCAGACACGCCGGTCTTCGCTAGGTCTTGCGTCAGCCTTGTCACCACCGAGTTCGCCGGTGTGTGTGAGGTGTTGCCTTCCGCTGCCAGCGAGCAAATACCGGATGATATTTTGAACAGCTCGGTTATGCAGCACTTGCGAGCCGCCAATGACAAGGAGACCAACAAGCAGAAGCTGGTGCATGTGCTGCACTCTAGCGGCTGCGAGCAGTTCTTGGAGCAAGCGTCCAAGCTACTGGAAAGGCTCGAGCCACTTTTCACAGCTAAGAAGGTGTCACTTGAAAAGCTCCTCGTGGAGGCTGCTGCCAGTGCAAAAGCCAAGCTGGTTAATCCCCACATGGGCATGGATGAGTTCTTGCAGTCCGCAGCCTCTGGTGAAGCTCTCAAGAAAGCCTTGAAGCAACTGCGTGCAGCGGAAAGGGACATGCAAGGCCACGGCATGCTACAGGACGGCTCTGAGCTGCAGCGCGACGTCTCTGAAGTCAAGGCGTCTTGCCGTTTGCAGATCATCAAATGGGGAATCGTGACTTTGGTCGCCAATGCCGACATCGCGGCGGACAACAGCAAGGGGAAGGGCCTCAGGAAAACTTTGCGGGACGTCTGGAACAGTCATTGTGATGATGGTGATGTCAAGAGTGTCCTGGGGCAGGCGGTAGTGGACTTGGTAGAGCAGTCGTTGGCGACACCAGAGAAGACCGAGGACCCCGGCGCCGTTGCGCCCAAGAAGCGTGGTAAAAAAAAGTAGGTCTGCGGCTGACAGCCAGCGCCACGACGACTACGAGTCACTACACGTCCGGCTGACAGCCAGCCACCTGCCAACTTTGCGCTGCAACGTCCGGCTGACAGCCAGCTCCTGCGAGCTCTGCGCTGCTGCGTCCGGCTGCCAGCCAGGCACGGCGAGTTCTGCGCTGCAGCGTAGAGAGTCTGAGTCGTTTTTGAAACTCCTCCTTTTCCTGTCGGCCCGGTTCCTAGCCCGTAGCCCCAAAGTGCGACAGCGTTCCAAGCTAGGCTAAACCGCAAAACCTCACACTCAGCCGGGCTGTCAGCAAGGGGGGTTGCCCACGTCACTGTCACTGCGAGTTGTGTGCAGAAGAAATGAGTGCCAGGGATTCATGAGTCATTCGTCATTATACTATTTATCTTAAATATGAATCTGAATGAATATATAATATTTATATATATCATATAATTGTGTGATTTTTAGTATTATTATTGTTATATATAATATATATATATATATATATATAACATATATTATATACATATTAATTTCCGGAATTTCCGGCAAATCATGAAATTCATGAAAGCCGAATTTCCGGAATTTCCGGCAAATCCTAAAATTCATGAAATCCGAATTTCCGGAATTTCCGGCGAATCACGAAATTCATGAAATCCGAATTTCCGGAATTTCCGGAATTTCCGGAAAATCATGAAATTCATGAAAGCCGAATTTCCGGAATTTCCGGAAAATCATGAAATTCATGAAAGCCGATTTTCCGGAATTTCCGGAGAATCATGAAATTCATGAAAGCCGATTTTCCGGAATTTCCGGAAAATCATGAAATTCATGAAAGCCGATTTTCCGGAATTTCCGGAATTTCCGGAAAATCATGAAATTCATGAAAGCCGATTTTCCGGAATTTCCGGAAATTCATAGTATTGGAATGATTGGAATTATTGGAATTTCAGGAATTTCCGGAAATTCATGATATTCGAATTATCGGAATTTCAGGAATTTCCGGCAAAACGAGCAACATGAATTTCCGGATGGACGCTAAACCATCTTCCAGAAGCAAGCTCTTGGATTCACACAAGGTAGGGGTTCCTTATTATAAATTATAGTAACTTTGTCGAAGTTGGGTAGCATTTTACATATTTATGGATATTTAAACCCAATAAGGAATAAACGTGTAATTTTGCATCCTATCCCAACCATGAACTAGGTAAAGTGGGCCCCAAAATCCTATTACGGGTTTGCCCTCAGCTTTGCACTGGAAATCGACATCTCAGAGGGGTCGGAAGGGTTTCTACAGGGGCCCTGCAGCCCAAACCAGAGCCCTGAAGGCACTTGGACGCGCGTGCCGTGGACGTCGTGCGTCACGGCCACAGCTGACATGCAGGGGTTTTCACCCACCTAAACTTCACAGACTGGAACTTCGTGAAGGCTCAAAATCCTGACGTTCAAGTCTTTGCCGGCACTTAAGGTGCTCTGAAAAGTTGCTTCGAGGCCCACATACCTTTTCAGTGGGTTCCCTTACTTGGATGATGTAAAGCCGTGGATTCACAAACATCGCAGAAGAAACTTCGAGCCCTACATGGTTTCGTGTGACCGAGGCACCAGACATTACAAATGTTGGTCCACAGGGGTCGTTAATGGAACTATATGTAACACACCCCAAATGCCCTCTTTGAAGGTTCTGTTTATAAAGGCCACTTTTGTCTATTTTTCCAATCAAAGGGTGTCGAAGTCTCTTGCCTTCTTAGCTTTGCCGGTGTTGAAGGATTCTCAGGCCTCTAGGGCTCCAGTGCTGGGTCTTTCGGCTTAGCAGAGTGAATAAGCAAGGAGAAAGTTAGTTTTTAGCTTGGGAGTGCCGGCAAAATACAGTACAATCCCTTCACCAACTACAAAACCTCAGCATTGGGGCCTGAATACTATGCATTATAGGGTTCCATGTTTGTACAAACACTATAACTACCCCAAGCCTTGTTCTAATCACAAAGACCACATATTCCCTGGCCCAAACCGTAAATTCACTTTGATCAAATGTGAAACCATGTTCACTTGTCGTAACCACGAAGGCACATCATTTGTCTCCCTTTACTAGGAAGACATCCCGACGCTGAGTCTGGCGGTTCCTCGCAGGCCGTTGAGAGGGGCCTTCTTTGTGTGGCTGGTGCTCTAAGGTTCCAGGGTTTAGGGGTCTTAGGGTCTTTGGAGTTATGTACGATTTCAAGGTGTTGTGTTTGGTTTCGGGGTGTTCAATTGAGGAATGCTTGCTGGGGTTTCAATCGGAGAGAGTGGGTGTTTTGGTTCAAGGATTTTGTATGTATGTAATCGTAGGTTTTTTGTCTACGTCGGTTTGTGTTTCGCAGTCTGGCATGTTATCGTCAGGAGGAAACATGGTCTATGTTGAGCTGGAGACTTGGGGGTGGTTCTTCGTTCAAAGCCCAGAATTCAGCATTCAGGGGTTTCGGTTAGATAAGCAAGTACAACTGCTTATGTATATATACATACATATACACACACACACACACTGTGAGTAAGTAAACGATCAAGCATGCAGGCAGGCAAGCAAGCAAGCAAGCAAGCAAGCCGTGCCGTTAAACGAACCGTTAGCAAGTCATATCCGGCCCTCGGAGGAAGACCTTTTCTGGACATGTCCGAGCGGGAGCATCACAAAGACCGTGCAACTCAAGTTAATCCTCAGAACCGTAAACCCCTGCCGTGCACTTGGTTTAAAGTTCATGGTGCCCAAAACCGTGAACTTCAAACCCTAAACTCCTTGGTTTGCTATCCCTGCTCCAGGCCCTCCTTTCCGGCACTGCAGGGCTCTCCAAGTTGGAGCCTCGGATGCTTGCAACGTTTGTCCTTCCAAGTGTGCATGTGTGCTTCCAAGATATTTTGATGCTTGGTGCTGGTTGAGCTTATAGGTATTATAGGTGCCCAGTAAAGACTGTTAGTGCCTGGCGCGTTGCGCAGACAGCTGATTTCACTTGTCCACACTTCTATAGTGTTCGTACACGCAGTATACATTTTGCTTATCCCACGGCTCACCTCGCAAGCTCAGAACAAACATGCAAAAGGCATTTACATCAGGACCCAGAAGTGATTCGTCCCAGAACCGAGAACGCGCACATGAACCCAACAGTCCCACAACAATCCTAAAATTGCAAGAAAGGAATCCAGTCTTTAACGTCCAGAGCCCTGGGCCTAGAGTGCTGGAACCTCAATAGGCCCAGCAGCTTGCACCCATGACAGCCCTCAAGAAACCCCTACTTAAGCCTGTTCTAAAGCCGATGATCCCTTCATGTCGCCATGGCTGAAGACACGGGGTCCGGCTGCTTCCGGGCCCTCTTCGGGCAGGTTCCGGCATGAGATTCAAAGCCTAAACTAAGCTCGAGGCAAATTATGTGTGTAAGGCATGTGTACCTACTATGTGCAAGTCAGGTTGTGTCATTCCTTCTGTTTGACGGCTTTCGGATGTTTCAGTGGCCTAGTATTCGAAGCTAAGCCAGCTAAGCGGTGATTCGATGGTGTTTCGCTCTTGGAGCCTTGAAGCACTTGGTAATCCTTAGGTTTTAGGGGTTTAGGGTAAGCTTCAAGTCTGATGGTTCATCGGTTCATCGGGTGTTGCAGCAATAGCTGAAGCTTCCTGCGATACTTGGTTAGCTTGTCTGTGGTCGTGAACTCAGGTAGCAGGTTACCAGCTAAGCTTAAGCCCGCACCCTGCCCCGAGCGAAGTCAAGTCCTGTCCACAATAGCCCCCCCAGCTCCAGGCCCAAACAAAGTCAGACACATACATGTCACCAGCAACGCCATGTCAATCTCCGGATCACAAAGCAGATGATTTTGAGCGTGCTTTCACCAAGTGTGGGTGCCGGCGTGGGTTCAGTGTGCGTTTCCACGTGGAATGTCAAGAAGGGTGTAAGTAGCGGCTTCGCGCTTGTCGAATAGATGGTTTGTGATTTTAGTTCATGTATCCCAGCCTCTATCTCAAACCCCATCCACAAAATCCGAAACCGTTTGCATGACCCGACAGCTGTGCAGGTCTCTGTGGAGCCATATCTGCAAGCGCGGAGCATCCTTTGCCTGGCCACTGGACTCATCGGGTTTAAGATGTAGGGGCTTGGCGACTGGGGTGTCGCAGTTTCACCCTTGCAGAAGAGAAGCTTTGGCGTCTCATCTTGCAAGCAGCGAAAAGGCTTGATTTGGTGCTGCAGGTGCTGAAACCCTTGGTGGCGCATCGCAACAGTTTTTGCCCTATCACGTTTCCAACGAAGCCATGCGAGAATAACAAAAGCCGCGAATTGGACCTGCTGCTAAACGAAGGGCTAGATATTTCTTGACTAATCCCTTCCCTCTAACATGAATATTAGGGGGGGTGCTTGAATATTAGGGTGACGGGACTAAGAGGGTGTTGGGCTCTCTGGTGAGCCGTGTCATTAACTCTGCCTTTCCCTGCGCCGAGGCACGCTGCGCCCACTCGGAATGGACTTACTGCTTGGAGCAGGTCCAGCGTCTGAAGGGCACCTGTATCTAGCTAGCGTGTGCACTGTTCAGGGCCAGAAGACCCTAAACCCTGAACCATAAACCCTTAAAGCGAAACCCCTAAGCCCTAACCCCTAAACTCTCGATAGGAGTTGGAGCCTTTCGCCCTCCTTTGTTATGAACGAAGCAGGAGCTGCTGCTGCAGTCAGAGTCCTTGTTAGCATGATGTTGGAAGGATTACCATTACCTGGACCCCCAAAGTATGCAGAATAATGGCCTTTTTTGTAGATATAGGGCCATTATGTTACTCATTTTGGAGGATTTGGGTAATTAGTTTTGTTCCGTACGCTTCTTTATGATGCATGTACTCTAACATGCTCCAAAATCTTGTCCCAAATTTTCAGGCCCGTGTACTAAAGCACCCCCCCGTCTACGGCCCCTCACAGTCACCCTTTTGGAACACGTTCTAAGGAACCCTTAAGGAGCCCGTTATGTACTCTGATTGTTAAGGCCCAATGAATATACCCCGAGGAAAGAAGTCTTGCGCAGGTGAGGCAGCGATGGAGACAGAAGGCGAATTGTGCCAGGGTTTCAGGGAGGGGGTTTACAGTGGTTCAGGGGTTTGGGGGTAGTCTAGGGACTCTAGGTTTGGGGTTGGCTGAGTCGCTGCAGACCAAATACAAGAATGGGGTTTAGGGTTTAGGGATCTACGGAACTCATGGCACTCTTCAATGGTGAATATATTGGAGAAAGTCGGCTGGTGTCGGACTTCTTGCCGCTTCGGACCAGCACGCGCGACGGCACTCTACAGCCAAAGCCAGCTGGCTCTAGGGTCAAAACGTGACATCGTACACCCTACCTGTTCACCCAAACTAAGAGCGTCTGCCATGCAGGAGGCGAGGTTCAGCGCGCCTCAACCTCTGACCCTAAAACCATCCTAAAACCCATGGCAGCTCGACGTCAGGCGCCCTTCGTCTTAATGACCCGACAGCAGCGAGCTGCCGTTCTCCGATTTCTGCCGCTTCTGGAATCCGCTCTCCTCTTCGAGTGTCTTTGCTGATTTTGGTTTAGAGTATCTTTTGGTGGGTTGTGGTCTGGGATCTAAGGTGTTTTCGGCGAAAGGCGTGGACACTAGTTTTATTTGAACATGTTTTCGGCGGGTTCAGGGCTTATGGGGTTTACGCTAGATTTGAGCCCAGTCGCCAAATTTAAAGGGTTCTTAAACAGGGTCCTATAACTGTTGCTATAAGGGGTATTATGGGGGTTTTATATAGGGGCCTTAATAAACATGATCGGGTTTGGGGGTATTTTGCACTATAACCATAATAAGGAACCCCGAATATAGTATAGGTTAGTATTCAGGCCCCTACAACAAGGACTTCAGGGTTTGGGGCCGAGTTTTTTGTTTTTTTTTGGCGCTATCGCTTGGCTACGGTTTACGGGTGTTGAAGCTTCGTTTGGAAATGATTCCTAAACCCTATACCTAAAAGTAGCTACTAAGTAGGTAAAATAATGGCCCAACACCAAAAAAAGGCTGTTATTCTACATGTTTTGGGGGTCCAGGTACAGCCTAAACCTCGCCCCGGCCTGGAATCGCAGGAACTTCGACGATCCCGAGAGTCTTTCGTTGGAAGACCTGGAGGCCATGTTTGCAAACCCGGGTATGCCTTTTAGGGCTTAGGGTTTAGAGATTCGGGTTTAGGGATTAGGGTTTAGGGTTTCGGGTTTAGACTTATCTTAGAACCCTCAGTGCCGAGGTTTCCACAATCGCGCTGTTTTTGTTTGTTTAGTATGGCATCTCCTTCTGTGGCCCTAGCATTGTGCATGCAACCCAAGCTTTGCAAGATCTTGGCAACCCGACCAGCGAAATCCAAAATCCTAAGGGGTGTGGGGGGCAGGTACGGAAGAAGAGGGGGGGTCGGTAAGAGTAGAGGTGCAGTGGTTTCGGCGGAACTCATCTGGGCCGCTGTGGGATGAGTCATGAGCGGAACAACTCGATCATAAAGCACAAACCCTGAAACTTGAAACCTTACTCTAGACTCTAAACCTTACGCAAGCCGGAGAAGCTAAAGGATCGGAGGCTGTTGGTTTGGACTTGCGATAGTGTAAGTATAGGGAAGGAAAAGTTAACATTTTTTCATGGCTCCTTTACACAAGTATAGTAAATGCAACTGCCACAACCCTTTCGAATTGCAGAGACCGTCGAAACCCTGTGTCTCGAGTCCTTGCGAGCCCCTTGCAAGACTGGTCAGTCTCTGCAGGTCGGATAAAGTCGAAACAGGGCGGATTCAGCTTGGTTACCTGAGGGCGAGAGGACGTTGCATACGAGTTGTTCGTGATTGCGGACAGGCGTTTCCCCCGAGCCGGAGACAGACAATACAACCCCAATGCCATTAATTAAATGCTATTAAACCTCATACCTTGAGTGGTTGAGGCCCCTTCGCGTCAACTTGCCACTGAACCCCCTCCTTCAATTTAAGTAGAAAGCCGACATCAAGGGCTCCAAATCCTTCGGCGTCTCAAGCCCTGTGTGCCAGAAGCTCCTAAATGACATCACTTAGCATCAGCAAGAACTCTTCATCCATTGTTGCAACCTCTCTGCATGTGTGTGTGTGTGTGCGTCCGAACTTTGCCACTTTGGCAAGAGGTGGGTGCCGAGCGTTCGATGTCCCACCGTGGTGTGGCCTTGGAGAAGATGGGCGTTTCGGAGCACCAGGGTTCTGACAGATTTGAGGCGTTCGATTATATTTGGATTCGAAAGGGGCAGTACTCCGAGCGTGAGTACGTTCTAAACCCTAAACCCTTAAACCCGAAACATGTCTACAGAAGTTACAGGGTTCTGGTCTTGTCTTGCTGAGGGGTCGGGGATCGACAGAACAGGAATCCAGCCTCCTAGGTCCCTGCATGAAACCCTGCATCCCATCTCCCCGAACCTCTGAGCATTGTGCCCTCAGGCCCTCACGGATCGTATGCAGACGGAAAGGGGCCCCTAAATGCAAAAGAACTAAACCTTTGCGTGTGGAGAGGTTTGCTGTATTTCTGATCCTGTCTTTAGTATGTCATCGTTGTTAACAAGTCACAGCCTGCCAGCCTCAAGTGCGACGTTAATTAGTTGAGATCGGACTATGTGGAGCCCTGCCTGCCTTGTGCGAGTGTGAGAGTCGAAAGCCTAAGCCCTCAAGCTTTATAACCCTAACACCTCTAGAGCAACAAACAGCCAAACCCCTGAACAAAAACAACAGGGAGGTAAAACCTCTTCACCTCCCGGAAGCCCCGAACTGCAGGAGCTTCACCCATTGAGCCTTTGGTGCGTCTCCCTCGGGTCTCCGGCACCTTCGGAGGACTAGACCAAGGGACTCGGGGCGGGGAAGACTCATTTTTGCCGGATGTTCCTTCGGAGTTATGCGCATTTGTTAAGCCCCAAAGAAATCCAGTGTCGGTCTGATTTTTGAGCCATATATGGGCTCCGACACAGCAGCATCCTTTGACGCCATAACTGATCATAGTCCTTGTTCAGGGTCAAGGGTCTAGGGCTGTTAGGGGAGGTTGTGTTTGACCAGACAGGGCAGCTGGACAACGAGTCCTGCTGCAAAAAGGCTTTAGGTTGGGTACTCCCCCCACTCTGAAACAGTTAAACAACACTTATTGTTACTCTATAAGCATAGAGCCCTTTCTATGACCCATAGTATAGCCTGTTACAGGGTGGAGGGGCAGGACCCACGGTTTAGGGTTTTAGCTTGGCAAGGCAAGTTGAGATCTTTGCTCCGAGCCTTCATTAGGTCCCCACCAGCGCCAGCAGGGTAGCTCCCAAAAATTGACAGCCCCTTTTAGGGTCCTGTCCATAAAGTGTGACTATTTGGGGGACCTGCAAAGGGCTTAACTTACAGAGCACTCCAGTAGCAGGTTGGATGCAAACAAAACCGTTGACAGTTGAGGAAGAGGTGCGGGTTTCGAGCTCCGGAGAAGTTTGAGGGCGTTGAGCCTGACAGGTTCGCAGCTGTGAACGATGCCTGGAAGTGTTATTGTGTTCGATTCGTTGTTTGGCAAGTCAGTTCCCATAAATTGTGCGCATGTCTGTGGTGGGGGGAGGAGACCCATCACGCCCTTATTCCTGGCCCCGCAACGCTAAAACCCTGCCGGAGGACTGCTGTGGCTTCGGGGGTCTCGAGCGCCACTTTGCCGGGATCGTCGCTCGAATGTAAAAAGCCCTTAGGAACAACCAGCTCCCAGACCCGAGTGACCACATGCCAGTGAAAGGAGAAAGGGCACAGTTTCCAAATCGTGGGAGTTCCGTCATCGCTAGCCTGAGCCGTGGAGTTTGAGGTGTGGGGATCGGAACCCATGGTTCGGGACTTTTGGATTTCGGGTTGCATCAAGATGTACCGGCATCGCATATCTTGGTGGGAAACATGTGATGCTTTGGGAGTTCCATGTAGTGCCGCTTTGTACTGTATGGTGGGGTCTTCAACTACTTCAGAGTGACCCTACTAGGGAACTCATACCTGACATATCTGTATTATACTAAGAACCATCAAGTTCCGCAACCCCCAACCCCAAAAGGGTAGAACATCTAAAGGACTGAGACAAAGGTTAGACAATCCTTCAGCGCCCTATCAAACCCGAAAGTATAATAAGTGAAGTCTTACCGAACCCACCCAAGAAAACGAAGTAGAATAATGGCCCAGCATCTATATAGTCTACATGCTTCGGGACACCAGGCAAGGGCTAAGCCCTAAATCCTAAGCCCTAAACCCTGAACCCCAACCCCTAAACCCTAAACCTTAAACCCAAAAAAACACCCTAAACCCCAACCCCTAAACCTTAAACCCTAAACCCCAACCCCTAAACCCTAAACCCTAAACCTCAACCCCTAAACCCTAAACCCTAAGCCCTAAACCCTAAGCCCTAAGCCCTAGACTCTAAAACGTAGCCAGAGGTAAGGCCTCAACTTCTGGCCTTTCGGGTGCGCTGCTGCTCCTGCCACCGTCGCTGCGCGGCAGCATCCAGGGTTTAGGGTTTTATGCAGGGTTGAGGGTTTAGGGTTGAGGGTTTAGGGGTTAGGGTTTAGGGTTTTATGTAGGAACCTGAGTAAGAAACCTTGGCTCTGTACTAGGGTTCCTGATTTTTATCCTACTAGTTTGGGGCCGTAGGCCCAGGGTTTCTAAATCAGGTTCCTACATTAGGGTTTTAGCGTTTAGGGGTCTGGGGTTCCTCTATACTACAGAAGCCTTAAGCAAGCAGCAACAAGGTTACCGATACTGTTAGGATTCCGAGTTTGTAGTTTTAGTATTTTTTGCACCTAAACCGCTTTCCAGGGGACCTTTGAGTATACAGAGCAAAGGTACCGGTGGTTGGCCAATGAAGGGTTTTAGATTTAAAATGCAGGACTCCCATCCCAAATCCTTAGCCACTGGCCCCAACGAAGACAGCCGGAGTCAGCTGGGAGAACATCCCTCAAAAACATGTAGAATCTCAACCTTCGCGACCCATCCAGCAAACAGCTCCAAATCCTACAGAGGTCCAGTACTTTTCCAAACCCGGCAATCGCTGCAAAGCCTAAAGCGTCCCCGCAACGAAGAGAACCCTCAGATCCTAACAGAAACTAGAGCCTTTGTATTTCCTTCTATGTGAAGCCGGACCGAGGACTCAGGGCGGGCGGGATCTTTTCACTGATGGGCCTGGGTGCTGAACAGCCGCTTTGAGAGCATGATTGTGTTGTGATTGAGGTTTGGGTTGTTTTTGAACCCTAAACCCTAAAAATAGAATGTCTCGAAAGTCTGAACCCTGCGTGGATTGGAGCTGAGGTTTCACTACCGTTATTCAGAGTTGCTTTTGAAAGCTTTGGGGCGGAAGGCGTTTTTTTTCGTAGGGGGGGGGGGGTCGCAAGAAAGGAGATGCTAAGCGACGCCTTGGGTTCCAAAAGCCCACATGGCCGAAGACGAGTCCGGAAAAGATTGGTGTTCAGGGTTTCGGAGTTTAGGGCACCGCGATTGAAGCAGAAACAGTCAACTTTATAGCAGATAAGCACTACAAGATACATGCCCGAATAGTTTACTTTCGTCATAGCATTCCCCGCACGTTCCCTGCTAGAATTGTTATACTCCTATCGCACTTTACCTATAGCCTCCGTTGTAGTTATTTTTGGTTTAACAATTTTTATATACAGGACCCTTTAAGGAAACCCCCAAAAAGGAAGTACAGTGGAGACTATAGGTAGTAGTTGCAATTGAGCCCTCACTCTGAGGCTGTTTAGTCCGAAGCCGGCTTTGTCCTTAAAAGCTCAAAGCCGTACGCTCTCTCGAACACCCGAATGATAGCACATACAGCACAGACCACACATGGTCAACAAATGTAAGCTCCATAAGCCCTGGAAGGTATTGAAAGCCGTATGCAAGGCCCCTTAACTTACATAAGGTGATCTCCAAACCCGCAGCCCTATCCCTACACCCCATGCGCCCGACACCAGGCCCCGTTCTGGTTCCCTTTGTTGGTCAACTAATACTTGTTCATGTTGTAGTTGGTTAATGATTTGTTCGTACCCAGTTGGTTAATGAAGTCTTCATACTGTAGTAGGATCCTAACCATCCAACTTGGTCAGCCAGAACAAGGAACTACAATGGAGACTATACACCTACATGCTCCGGGAGCTGATCCCCACGCTATCCTACACCCAAAAGACTACTGTTTAGAAACTCCGAAAACTCGATACACCCCACAAACGCCTACGTAAGGCCAGCGAAAGACCCTAATCCTTGTGCCCTCAGGAGGCCACTGGTAGACCTACAGTAACTCATGCCTATGTTGGAGTTTTCGCAAATAGGGGGTACCTATTTTTGGGATTCTGAGAATGAGGATCCTAGTATCTAGGGTACTATCATGGGGTTCCCTATTTTCGGAAACTTCCGTGCAACGCCCCCGAAGAAACCCTACGCCGCAAGGCCCCTGGAGTTGGAAACCCAACAGCCTCAGTGCTTAAGACTACAGATAAGGAATCCCATCACTGACTACTTGTCCTTAATCGGGTTTCCAACATTGTTAGGTTTCCTTACATACCTAAACCCTAAGACCCCCCCAAAAATCCCTAAACCCTAAACCCTAAACCCTAAACTAAACTCTCAAATCCCTAAACCTAAACCCCCCCAAAAAAATCCCTAAACCCTAAACCCTAAACCCTAAACCCTAAACTAAACTCTGAAATTCCTAAACCTAAACCCCCCCCAAAAAAAACCCTAAACCCTAAACTAAACTCTCAAAGCCACCGACCCAAAGGCCCCTGGAGTTGATCAGTGTTTACTTCACCTACGACTCCACGGGGCGAACGATTTTCGCGGGCAGCGGCGGCGCGGCAGATGTTGCGCCTTGGGCTCCCAAGAGATCGGAGAAGGCTTAGGCTTAGCTTTAGGGTTTAGCGTTTGGGTTTTACGTAGGGTTTAGGATTTTAGGGCTTAGGGTTAAGGCCACAGAATCCAAGCCCATGCTGCAAAGAGCCTGGAGTTCAGAGAGTCCGAATCGTCCGAATTCGATTTTTTGATGCCCAGAGGGTCATGAGTACCTACATACTGCAATCTGTGAACAGTCTTTTTGATCGTCCACTAGAACTTTTTCTGTTCAGTATAGTTGTGTATGTACCCAAACAGCCGGGTTCTAGTTCCAAAGTACCATGCTCCGAATGTTTTTTGGGCCCGACGCCTGTTTTGTTGTTGACGGCTTAGGGGTTTTAGGGCTTTTTGCTTCGGATAGTACAGGGCAGAAACCCAAAAAATGCATGCACATATATGCTCCTGAAGCCTATCACTTTTTGGCCTAGGTGTTGCTTTCGGCTCCAATACGTAGTCGCAAGGGAAGTCTGGGACTGGGGCATAAGGTTCTTGGTTTAGGTTTTGGGGCGTAGGGTTTGCGGGCTTACTCTTTAAAGGGTTCAGGTTTACAGCAGATGGGACATGCGCGGTGAGGCTCTTGGGCGCTGGAACGATGGCGAGTGGTATGAGGAATGCCCGCTCGGGGAAGGGTTTGGGACCTATGGGCAGGTTTTAGGGTTTACGGTTTAGTGTTTCGGCTAAAGTTAGTCGTAGGTTTCAGTGTGGAAATCCGTATAACATGCTCGCGCCCTATGTTGGGTTCCGGGCTTGTGTTACGGACAGGCGATTCCGCCAACTCAGACATCTGACGACTCAAGCCCAGTCCTTGTGGCGGGTCCCGATGATGATCTGTTTCAATCAGAGGAGTTTAAAGGGACGTAAGGATAAGAGTTTAGGGGTTCGAGGGAAATTGGGTTTGGGAGGTAGCTAGTACAAGCCGGAATGACTTCCGGCGCCCTCGTCGACATTTCCACCCTTCTCCGGCGAGAAGGGACGATACCACGCATACATTGCATTGAGGAAGCTACAGCAGTCTGCACAATTGTACTTGAATTCTAGAATGGTGTTCGTCATTCTCGTTACACTACAACATAACCCAAGGTATTCTTCCAATATATATATATATAACACCTTACGATAGTTGGAAGTCTGAGTTCGTCACACCATCAGGTGGTCCTGCAGTTGGACTGGAAGAAGCAGGAGGCACCTCCTTTCGGACGAATGGGCTTTGGCATGAGCCCCGGGTTTAGGGCCTCAGGGGTTTAGGATTTTGGGGCTTTTAGGTTTAGGGTTGGGCTTCAGGGTTTTAGGGTTGAGGGTTTTAGGGTTTAGGATTCAGGGGTTCAGCGTGTGACATAGGCCTTATTGGGGTGGGGATGTCGGAAGCCCCAACGAAAGCCTGCTGTATCAGCAGCTGCCAGAGACAGATAGACAGTGTGCAGAACTACCCGGAAAGACCAGTTTCCCTTGTTTGAAAAATACACTTCAAATCCTCCTATTCAGGCTCCCATGATCTGAGGTATCTTCCTTGATGAAACCATATGCAACGGTCCAATTTTAAAAAGCCTTGGAAAACCCAGATCTTCCTGGATTGAGCGGTGGCTATGCAGAAGATGGGCTCTTCACGGACTCGAAGGTGCTTTTGCTTTGTGTAGAGTAGTGTCGGGCACCTATACTTACCAGATCGGGGGCGGGGGTGATTTTTTTTGTCCATCTGAGCCTTCCATCTGTTTTTTTTTTTTTATTATGTGCAGCGTTATGTAGGGTTTAGTGTATTTTAACCGGGCTTCGGATTATCTTAATTAGAGTCCTGCGGCTTGCGAGCTTACTCATGGCCCCTTTACAGAAAGTCTGTAGCTTCAACCCTTGACAGTTGCCTCGTGCCCCCAAGCCCTGAACGTACATGTTATTGAATCCCAAATCCTAACCCCCAGGCAAACTCTAAACCGAAAGAGGCCTTCTGCCGACATGCCCCAGATGGCCAGCTGGGCGCCAAAAAAGCAGGCAGGGGAGGAGTCAGTTTCGCGGGGGTGAGGCTATGGCTTTTCGACTGAGAAAGTCTACGTAGTATCCGTGATGCAATCGAGAGTCGGCTCATGTGGGTTTGCAGGCTTTTTGTCTAGTTAGTTTGTTGGTCGGGAGGTTCGGCGATGTTGTGCTTCACATTATGGCCTGGGTTTAGGTCCACCGAGGGCTAGGGCCCACATTGGTTCTGATCAACCGGGTTGAATGGTGTACTGTTCCCCGAGCACTGCATCCTAGGTCCGACAGCTTGAAAGCTTCAACTTCTTCGCCTGGAAACTATGGCTGATCCACAAAACCAAATGCCGAAAACTTAAACCCCGACCCCCCGAGCTGCCGACAGAGCATCATGGGATATTCGTGGTCCTAAGTTAGGGCTATGAACGATTACTAGGTTTTGAGATAAAACTTGAAAATGTCAGCACATAACTTTCTAATTCGGAACCGTTATCACACTTGCGGCAAATGATGCATCACTTTGGGCTGTTGAACATAGTATTTCAACCATTTGTCTGAGCGCCCTGGACTAGCAAGAAGGTTCTGGCTGCATTGTCCCCTTCGTCGATGCGCTGCTCATTTGCAGGTAGCCTTTCAAGTGCTGCTTCGATTTTTTCAGGATTTCGATCCAAGGCATTGGGTATTTCGGGCTCAGAGTTTCGGAATCTCTGTGTCTGTGTGTGTGTGTGTCAGTGTTTTGTCTGGTGTTGTGTATTGTGTGTTTGTGTGTTTTTGCCTGTGTTCGTGTGGTCTGTTGTTTAAAGCTTCAGATGGCGTTTGACACAGCATTGGGCTTATACGTTTAGTGGCTAAAGCGTATGGCATGAGCCGAGAGCTTTGGCACGAAGAACGGCGAACGTCGGCTCAGGTCGTTGTGCCTTCACTCTAGATGCTTGATTCAGCAAGCGGGTAGGTTCGGATCAACTCAACCCCAAACCCTCGAAGCCCAAAAATCTGAGAGCTACTGGCACTGACTTTGATCTCTTGAAGGCAACATGGCCACCTCTGCGGCTCGTACACGGGCTTCAACACGAGCTTATCCTTGGTGGAAAAAATCGAAAATACGACGTCGTGTCACTGGCAAGAGGTGCATTTCTGTGTAAGGCCTGCGCTGTTTCCTAAGGCTGCCTATGCTCGGCGATGGTTGCACTGGCATCAAGCTATGGCACATTGCTGACGATTTTCGTGCCTCATGGACCGACATCCTCGTAGCATAGAGCACTCAATGTTTGTGTGCCGCCGCCTCTGATGTACATATCAGGATGACGGATGTTGATCTTTGACTGTGGTAATGGCTATGTCGACGATGTTGCTGCAGCTGATGGTGACGACGGTGACGAACTGAAAAACCAAATCCAAGCTGCAGCTACTGCATCGCCGACACTGCGCAGCGGAGAAAAAGGCAGCTTGCTTTTGGGACTCAAAGTTCAGGGTCTGCGGAGTGACAGGTCGGGATCTGGACCCCTGATGAGATTTATACTATACATACTTGGATCCTTGAATCGGGGTACAGCAGGAGAAGCTTCTTTTCCCGACTCGCAGTTCGGAGCCCTGAGTCCCTAAACTCTAAACTCTGGGCCCGAAACCCTGAACTTCAAGGCAAACAAGCCCTGAAGTCCGGAGTCTTCAAAAAAAGAAGTAGTGGAGCGAAAGTCCCACTGCACCCTTAAAAAAACCCGATAAGCCCTAAAGTAATGAATCGTGGCACTGAGGCAGGGCATCCGGACGGCCTTGGCACGGGAGCGCTATGGGAGATGGTTGGGAGACCTGGTCCTGGGTTCGCGGGTTCAGGGTTTAGGCTTCAGGGTGCAGTGTCCTGGCATATGCATAGTCCAGGTGTAAAAGGGTGCAGTGTTTCGGGGTTTGGATTGGGTTTGGGGTTTAGGATTTTGGGGGATTAGTTATTATTTTCCTGCAAGGATCTCATAGCCAGTGTTTATGGCCCCGGGCACAGGTTTTGCAGAGTAGCCGGGTTCCGCAAGTCGCCGCAACATTCAGCAAAGGGGCTCAGAAAACATACGGCCAAAATGTCAGAAGCAGGGAGGCCTTGAGTCAGAAGCAACGCCGCCCGAAGTCAACATCAGGGAGGCCACAGTCAGCAAGCGATAGACACGGCAAATAAGAAGATGCGCAGACTTCAAGCGAATTTGCCTATGGAGCCTATATATCATAAACATGCCCCATCATTTGGCGGTCCGAATCATCATATATCTTCACCACGCCCCCTCATTTGGCGATTCCAGTTCATCATATGTCTGAAGCATGCGCCCTCACATGGCGATTTCGCTTCATCATAGCTCTTAAGCACGCCCGCTAATTCGGCGATTCCGGTTCCTCATATATCTTAAACAGGTTCCGGGCCGAATCATCATATATCCTAAATAGGCCCCCTCAAGTGCAGATTCGGAATCATCGTATATCTTAATCACACCCCCTCATTTGGCGATTCCGGTTCGTCATATGTCTTCAATACTTCTCAAACACGCCCCCTCGCCCCCTCGTTTGGCGATTCCGGTTCGTCACATTTCTTCAACACGCCCCCGACCTCAACTGGCAGCACTACATTTCGAAGGGCAAACGGGAAAAAACTTCAAGTTTGCAGTTTCTGGCGGGGTGCTTCCGATAGTGGCCGTGAGGGTTTCTGACCGTGTCTGTGGTGCTTGTGACGTGTGTCCGAGTTGTCTGCTGACTTCGGCATAAGTTTCAAGAGTCAGGGTCCAGGTGTCCAGCCGTGGTCTACCCTGAGGCTCCACATCTTCAAAGAAACGGCTTAAGGTGCGGGGGCGGAGGGCTCTGCACCCAAATGTTAGGGGGCTTAATAACTGGAAATAGGCTTTTGGAGCCCGTTATACCACGTATACTGATAAAGAACCCCCAAAATTTGTATGGGTACTCCGTTAGAAATTCTAAACCCTCCGCATTCATCGGAGCCCCGGCAGAGCCGCGGCAAAGCAAGCGAATACACATGGGAGTGCAGAGTTTCGGGCCAACCCTAAACCCTATAAACCCTAAACCGAAATTTCGGGTTTAGGGTTTAGGGAACCTCAACACTTGAGTCTCTAACAACTAGGATGCCCATTTGGGAGTTTCCGAACATTAGGGGTACCTTTTATTCTGCGGTCCTGATAATAAGGATCCTACTGCTTTAGGGTACCATATCACTGTCCCCTTTCTTTCGGAAAACGCCCAATGAAATCCTCAGTGTCGCAAGTAAGCTCCCACGAGTGCATCAGCTGAGGGCGACCTATGCGCGGGACTTGGAGACGCAGGCCAAGGGGCACTCCCTTGGATGCTTCAGCTAGCATAATATGAACACCAGCTGTCACTGCGCGTACATGAAGACCCTTAATGAATCTAGATTCTTGAAACCCAGAAATTCCGTGCAACCCAGAAACTAACAAAGTCGGAGAGTGAATTTTCAAATGTGCACATTTGGCATCAAAGTTAGTAGTACACTGTTGCGATGGTATGCTGGCTTGTAACAGCTTAGTTCACAGATTGGCGGCTCAGTATCCTTGAACCCTAAACCCTAAACCCTGAACCCTAAACCCTAAACCGCTCAGTATCCTTGCAATCCGATCCTGGCCAGGTTGAGCTCCTTTGTCCATACCCCAGCCTTTGCCGAACCTAGGTAGGATTGTGGGGCATTTTTTATTTTCCTTATTTGGGTTTATAAGGGACCCTATATATATATATATATATATATATATATACTTTTCAGGGTGTTTAAAGGCCAACCCAGGAACTTGATTGGGCTTCGGAGGGACGAAGGGCATGCACTCCTGGCTTTGTTTGATGATTTAGGGTGAGGGGAGGGCAGCCTCCTAGGGAGTGGGAACCGCGAGCCCTGGATATGGGTGTTTCCGAAAAGAAGGGGTACCTTATTTGGGGGTCCTTATCATAACCTATATTTGGGGTGCTATATTAGGTTCCCCCTATTTTCGTAAACTTCCATATCCATATAGAGTTTTACGGCCCAAGATACGGAAGACTGAACCAACGAAGAGTAAATAGTTTCGTTCCATAATGTACAGCCCTGGCACATGTACACAAAGGGTCCATGTTGTGGGGCACAGCTCCAGGCTGTGTGGCTCGCCTTAGCCCCGAAAGCGCGCAAAGCCCCTATGTAACCCTGTACGTAATCTCGATGCCCCTTATGCCGCACCCTAAACCCTAAACCCTAAACCCTTATGCCTAAACCCGAAATCCCAAATCCGGCAACTCCCACGGCCCATAAACCCAAAGCCCCATACCAAGAGGCTCATACCCTACCCCTTTTTTAGGGCGCCTACTTTTTAAGATAACAGATCCTAACCATAAGACTAGGTATCCGAAAAAAGGGGTAGGGTATGAGCCTCTAGGTACTTTAAAAACCTTACACCCCTAAAAGTTTTGGGAGGGCCGGGCACTTTCTTGCGACAGGGTGCATGAAGACCAGGCGTCCGAAATCCCGATCACCGGATTCAGCCCCAACCACCAAACTCCAGGCGGAATAAGGTTTTCATGCTTCAGAGCCTACCCGGAGCTTGTTCGATGTTCTTATGGCAGCTGCCACATTGTGTGCAACCAAAAGCAC